AAGTGACAAACTCAAAGAAGTGATGAAAATTAAAAAAAAAAGTGACATAAATTAAAAAAAAAAAAAGTTGAAATCTTTCGACGAAATTCACGAACTTTCTTCTTCTGTAACAATTGGAGTCGAATTTCACCTTACAAGAACATTGGGCTGGCTCTCACGGGCTTACCGATGAATTATTGCACAAAAGTTTTGGAATTATTTTCCAATTATGTATATAATCTTCTATTTATTTCCAGAAGCCGCATGTGTTGTAGTCCAATTCGGAGTCTGGGCTAATTGTCTTCAATTTTCCAATCAATTCCAACCTCCTGTCCAATAGATATGGAGTTGTATGCACATACTCGCAGTGGGTGTGCGTGTGTTGGGGAGAAAACATGGGGGATTTGGCTTTTCAATTTCCATTTTTGCAATGCGGCGGAGGCGGTGGCAATAGAAGAGGAGGAGGTGGGTTTCCATCATTTCTTCCCAAGAAAATTCACAATATCAGATATTAGCAAAAACAATGGTTCAGAGAATTCGAAGAATTCTTGTGCAGATCTTTCACAATATCAGAGATTAGTTTTAAAATTGATGAAATGATATAGAGCCTGTTTGGTAGAAATTTTAATCCAATTAAAATTGAAAATGTAGTCATTATTGAGTCTCATTCGTCCAATAAAAGTCAACAATAAGGGCTAATTTTTCAATTTTAATCTGATTTTAATCTCTACCAAACACACTCATATTATTTTTTACTATGTACTTACCTATCAGATGATTTTCCAAAAGATTGTTATATTTAGAGTATATAATCTAATTTCCTCTTTAAAACTTCGGGTCCATTTGATTCATTCTAAAAATTTTGGCCCAATTTGTCTCTCATTATTTTAAAATATTGTTCCTTACAGTAAGATTTTCCGCCACACATTCACCCAATAAAGACCATGTTTGCCATCCTTTAAAAAACTAAATTGTTTGCTACAGTATCATTTCTCCACCACATATTCACACAATAAAATATTCTACACACAAACACATAAAATTTACTTACTCTTTAACCACACATTCTCCAAATCCATAACTCATTATTCGCAAATAGATTCTATCAAACATGCACAAAATATTCTGCACACAAATCAATAAAGTTATTTTAAATTTCAACTACATATTCTTCAAAAAATACAATTCATTACTCCATTTCTTCTACAATAATAAGAGACAAACACACACTTTGTAAAATATTCAAAACATATTTGATTCCATATTTTTTAAAAATAAGGATAAGTATATAATATAAAATTTAATATTGACGTTTTGAACATTTTCAATGAAAGTTTTAGAAACACTTAAAGCCCTTGTTGGGGCTTCATTTTAATGAGGTTTTAGTTAAAACATATGTCGAAATTATAATTTTTTGAAAAATGTGTGGTTTAAATGTAAGGAAAGATCTGAGTTTACATATAATATTATTTTAACGAGGTTTTAGTAAAAATTTCAAACTAAATGTATTTTTTAATTTTTTGTTTTAAGAAATAACATTTCAAAATGTAACAATCTTAAAACAGGCTCCCAAAATAGAATTTAAATATAAAATCAACTCAAAACTGAAACATAAATCAAACGGACTCATTTTCAATCAAATATTCTCATAATAAAATATTTTGCACGTAAATCCAAAATATTTTCTTACTTTTAATCGCACATTCTCCAAAAAAACTACTATTCCAAAATTCATTTTTAAAAGAGCTCTTTTTAATGAAAGACAAACTTGAGCTTATTATTCAAACAAAGCAAAATTTTAACATCAATCACACCTTTAAACAACTAGTCATTATTATCCACACAATTCGTGATTCAACCATTATACCTCCTAAAAATTTTCTAGAAGTTATTATTAATATTTTCCAAATGCATATAAGTTTATTTTATTAGTACAAAGATTATTTAAAACTCATTTACAATTACTTTTTCTGTTGGAATATAGTTAATAAAAATATGATTTTGATCAATTTTTGACCAAATATTTGGATAGGTTACATTACTCGAATTTGACGAAAAATAGGTCAAACACGTTCTACTCCTCAACTAGATAAGTTTTGTATATTTGGAAGACAAAAATTATTTTCGAATGAATGAGAAACTAGTAAATGAAGTAATGTTTATAAACACGGTTTTTTTTTTTAAATAACTAAATGGAAATTCAAAAACCTAAATGACCGCTCGATCGGTGAGGCGAGAGGTCAACGAGTGGTCAATGAATTGGTGAAACTTTTCAGAAACGAGTTAATATTTGGGTTGTGACTTTTCAGCTGCAACCATTCAGCCTCTATAAATTGAACCTCTCTGTAATAGTTTCATTTACTCCAATTCCATACGATCATTGCATACATTAACATAAAATTCATAGCAAAATTTTTGTATCAAAGTTGTTTTTTTCATTTCATACGAAAAGGATTATAAAATTTCATTTAATTCGCCATTTTTTGCTATTCAAAGTGTTGCCATCACAAGAATTGATTGTTTTATCTTGGGAAACGATTGTCGATCCACCGTCGGCACATGTGCATGGCAAATTGATCTTAAGGACAAAGAATTTAATTCTTGCTTCAATTTTCTTCCATTCCATTTTCTTATTTTGTGTTTGTCAGGTCTGTATCCAATTTTCAAGTAGGTTTATGTTATCATTTATTTTTTTACATGTAATTTTCATGCTATATATCCACACTTGATCTATGTCATTTGATTGTAACAAATGCTGCTTTGATACTATATTGACATAATTGATGGACGAGAATGTTTGAAAATAATTTTGGTTATGATAGTAAAAGTTTTGATCACATAAGATTATACACATTTATAAGGTAATATATGTGGCCTAAGTGGAAGATTGTTAGGAAAATATTAGGTTATCATGTGGGCCGACATATATAATTAAGTGTATAACTGTTATCTTAAAAGTAAACTCAAAATTAAAGTGATCTAATAAAAAACTAAGTAATTGGGTTTTGGACATAAATAAAGTATGTGTCTGATTATATGTGTAGAGATCGGATCCATTAGAGCTGTATTGGACAATAAGCTACATATGATCCATAATTCATATGCAATTTTCTCATTCTTTGTGAGAATTCAAAAAGAAAGCATATTGAAAGGGTGGATCCAAAACCCACATAAAGAAATTCAAGAATCAAGAAGAATGATTAAAGAATTCAAGAGTTGATAATCGAAAATCAAATTGAAGATCAAGAAAATCGAGATTAAAAATCTAGAAATCAAGATGTAAGGATTACGATTCAAGCTTCAACATTTATTATTCAAGACATAAATTAATGGATCAAGGTATATTCTACATTAAGTAGTTTTCTTGATGATTTGACATGGGGATCTTGATAATTCATGAAATTTTATAAAGTTAAGTTTCACATAAAATTCAACAAGAATAAGGTTTTATTGGGAGAAAATATTATAAAAATAGTGATGAAGTGGTTTTTTTTTTTTAATCCAAGCATGCCTATTTTCAGTTGGTCCTACCTTATTCTTTAATATCTTATACTTTGATGAAATAAGACCAAAGATTTTAATTAAAGTGAATACTAAATCGAATACTTCATTACTAAAATAGACTTGAATGTGCACAAACAAAAATCATATGTCCAAAAAGATAACATTCAAAATTACAAATTCCCACTAAACCAGCATATCATCAAAATATACAACACCAATATGAGCAATGTGATCATTAAAGACTTCGGGTAGTAGACCTTTACTGAATGGATCTATTATTATGGAGTTTGTTCCAATATGTTCTATAATAATCTGATCACTTTGAACTCTTTCTTTAACAACTAGGACTTTGATTTCTATAAATTTAGACCTTGTTGAACTCCTATTGTGTATTTCAATACAAAACTACTAACTTATTGTCACAAAATAACTTAAGTGGTCATTCAATTCCATCCAAAATTCATAGCCTAGTGAAAAAATTTCATAGCCATATTCCTTAATTGGATGCCTCATAACACGCTACAAACTCTGCTACTATGGTTGAAAAAGCTGTGAGTGTCTGTTTAACACTATTCCAGAATATAGCTCCTTAGCAGGAAGACATAACCCAATGTGGATCTCCTACTATCTTGACATCCAGCAAAATCAGAATTAGAATAACCAATGTTCGTAATTGGTCTCATTTCTAGTATGT